TTTTATGGAATGTTGCTGTGTTTATTATAAATGACTTATCCATGCATATTCTTTTTTTTTTACATGCTCTCATAATTGTTAATCAAATGCATTAACATATGTTAAAGTCCCACCCCAATATTTTTTTCTTCTGTTTGTAAAGCCATTCCACTTATATATGCCACAATAGGGAAGAAAAGACGGCCACCATTTCAGTTTCATTCTGATATAGTTAACTAAAATTAAAACCACAAAATACATTTTCTCTACTATAAATAAAATAAACATTAACTGAATTAAAATATCAACAACAAAAAAATCTCATGTTTAACTTGTACTAAAATAACTAAAACTGAAAGAAACATTACAATCTATTTAGACATTTGAGGGGGAAAAAATAAAACTAACATAAATGTTAAAAACACAGCAAAATGAAAATATACAAATAAAAGCATTCAAAATATTAATTAAAACTATAATAGTATCTCAATGATACTAAAATAAAACTTCTCTAAAATTAAGAGTAATTAGAGATGTATTTGATTTGTTCATACATGCTTGTGCAATTTATTAGTGTTCCTCTTTCTTTCTTCATATCTCAGGTGCACAACTTGATCATGTTGGCAAACCAGAACCGGTCCACAGCCCGCACAGGCATGAACGATCACTCTTCACGTTCTCACTCTGTGTTCCAGCTAGACATAGAGGGGCAGAACTCTGATCGAGACACCAAGTGCAAGTGTAAGAATCACATACTACCTGCTAGGGCTGTCAAAACAAAATTCGAATTTCGAATATTCGTCGAATTTAAAATAAAAATCCACATTCTTTTTTGCATTCGAATTTTAAGTGTGCATTAAGGAGGCAGCCTTATCAGTGGTGCACGAGATGCGCTGACGATGTAAGTGTCGTTGCATTTTAATGTTTTTGTTAGCCTATCCAGTTGAAGCCACTAGATGAGGCGTTGCTGCGTTGTTGATTACAAATATTGCAGGAAAAGAGAACATCAATGCAGAGAAGATCTTGTTTACATCAAAACTGAAACCAAGCCGTTCACACAGAACGCATATTTCGCACATTTTCTAGAGGGACATCTATCACCATTGCACTTGTGTCTCGCACAAAAGAGCCACATGTTTAGAAAGTCATGTAAAATTAATGCAAGTTCAACTTTGAAAAAACATATCTCGAGACTTTATGGCGGGGTTTTTTCCCATCCCTCTGCAACTTTTTAAATGAAAAATGTACTCTGTGATTGGCTTTCGACCCTTTGTATTAAACTATGAACATGATGCTGTTTTGTTTATAGTCGTTTAAGCAACTTAATTATAATTGGTTTATAAACATTATTTTAAAGGGGTCATATGATGCTGCTAAAAATAACATTATTTTGTTTATTTGGTGTAATTAAATGTTTATGCGGTTTAAGGTTAAAACATTATTTTCCACATACTGTACATTATTGTTTCTCCTCTATGCCCCGCCTTTTTGAAACGCGTCGATTTTTACAAAGCTCATCGGTCTGAAAAAGCGAGGTGTGCTGTGATTGGCCAGCTATCAGTGCGTTGTGATTGGCCGAATACCTCAAGCGTGAGATGGAAATGTTACGCCCCTTACCATACTGTGATGCCCTGTCAGGCCGGAGCGATGATTCAAAAGTGAGTGGCAGCGGCCTACAGTGAGCAGAGGCCGGGGGCTAGCATGAGGAACGGCCGGAGGGTTAGAGTGAGCAGAGGAGGGTGGGCTTGAGAACAGCGCGGCCGGCGATTTCAATGAAGGAGCGTCCGGAAGGACATGTGACGACCCTGGGCTGGACTCCGCTTCGTCCACGGTGAAAGCCGATCCGGCGAGCCACAGCGCAAAGTTGTAGTATTTCCTCAGCAACCAGCACTGATCAGCTCCAGGCATGAAGAAGCAGCTATCGTCCTCTTTTGGAAGGCAAACCAAAGTAGTTTCGCTTTCACAACGAAACACACAGCGTCTTTACGACATGGCGGCGGCAACAACAATACTACAACGAGAATAAAAGTTACGCCTTCTTTCTTTGCGTGAACATTTGGGCGGCGTTATGCAAATCTTCCCACATAGTGACGTAGACATGTGGGGGCGTGTTAGAACGAGCCGTTTTAGGTAGGTGTGGCTGACTCTTAACTTTTATAAAGAATATATCTTTGGATTTGAGACTTTAGTCTTTGCAACTTTACAGATCTTCTTTATGCACCAAGAGCTTGTAACACTCCAAAGAGAAAGGAAAAATTGAAATCGCATCATATGACCCCTTTAAACATTATGCACTTTTTTTCACAGATAGTCATGTTATCTTATGCTTTGAATAAACGTGCATTAGTAATATTTTGCTCAATGCGCCCTTTTGTGGCCTCAGAAGAGAAGCCAAAAGCTTTTCTTTACCCTATCTGAAATTATGCATTTTAAATTCGAATATAATTCGAATTTTTATAATATTTAAGTACAAAATTTGAATTTAGTTTTTCAGCCATTTTGACAGCCATACTACCTGCATCCACAATAACTAGATTTAATAGATAAACTGCTCTTCTTAAAGGGGAGTAGAGGCCCAATTTGAGAAGTCTTCAAAAGTAATATTGAGTTGGTCCACAATTATATTCGACATCGATATCTGACTTTAAATGTGTTGATTGCTTCTCAGCCACGCTGTGTCTGGTGGATTTGGCCGGTAGTGAGAGAGTGCAGAAGAGTCAGTCTCAAGGAGATCGATTCAAGGAAATGACCGCCATCAACTCTTCCCTCACCAACCTGGGAATTGTGATCGCCGCTTTGGCCAACAAGGTATGTTTTTAGCTAACTATATGGAAGCAATGCTGAGTTATTGGAGAATGTAATGCTCTCATCCTCATACTTGATTTTCATAACCAAAACTAGTCTTCTAGACTTCTTGGTACATTGTGCCATAGATGTTGTTTTCATATAAAAGATATTACTTGCTGTGCAATAATAACTTCACACACTCATTTTCCTTCTCGACCTCTACAGGACAGCTTTGTTCCCTACCGTAACTCAAAGCTCACGTACCTCCTCCAGAACTGCCTCGGAGGCAACAGCAAAACGTAAGTATAATGCTCAAGTACGTGTTTGTTTTATAGCCTGCGACATTATTTCCTTTTGGAGGTTTGCAGAATATAATTTATAATATACATTATTTTAAAGGAATATGTGACTTATTTCTTGTCCTGTTCAGTTTGATGTTTGTGAATATATCGCCTGAGGAAGAGAGCTTCAGTGAGTCGCTGAATTCTCTGCGCTTCGCCAGCAAGGTGAGTGATCTCATGCGGTCACACGGCAGGTTTTGTTTAACATGATATCTTTAACACGGTCTATAACTCTCGTTTACTGTGTTTCAGGTGAACGACTGTGTCATCGGAACAGCCTCTGCTAATCGGAAGTAGTTCAGCTGTCATTTCCCAACATCCTCTGTGGTCATTTTTAAATGTTTTTAACTTTTATCTGAACTTCACTTATTTCATCTTTAGCCTCATTTCTCCTGTCTTTGGCATTTTTTATATTTCTAAGATGCATTTTTAATGTTCAATATTACTGGCAGACAATTTTTTATTAATGTTTTATAGCCACAAAATGCATATTGTACTTAAACTTGTAAGGGGATCAATAAATTTTCCATTTTGGCATGTAATGCAGTGATGAGCCTCATTATGATGCCAAGTGGACAACGTTTGGACAGTTTTGTTCTTGTGGATATAGTTTATAGTTATGAAAATGCAAATGAGATTTGTTTCTCTTACAAATAAATGATCCTGGTAATTATAGTTTGTAAAAAATACTTTAATAAAATTAAGATAACTTGAACTTTGGCACTGTTGTCATAAGAAATAAAATTTCATGAACTCTGAAAGCTTCTTTCAACGTTTAAAAGATATCCCATGTTAATTATACACATAATATAATTAATAATTGAATAATAATCATTTATGCATTTAGCAGATGCTTTTATCCAAAGCGACTTACAGTGCATTCAGGCTATACATGTTTTTTTACCAGTATGTATTGTAATTAAAGTTATAATCCTTTGTTACTGTAAATGTTAGCATTAAACAAGTCCTATAAGAGACCAAATATATATAGATACATAAAATATTAATCTTTGGGCCATAATTTTAACCATTGATTTTTATTTTTGAAAATATTCCATAATTTTTGGTTGTAATTTTTTTTTACCTTTAAAAGCAAGGTAAAAAAGGGGGGGAAAGCAGCACTGTTTTATCATACTAGATACATGTGAAAGTTCTGTTATAATGCTACTCTGTGCAGTCGTCACCGGTCTATTAAAACACACAACATATTAA